TACAGTGCATTTTGCTCTCCAGTTTTGTCAATTGACCCTTCTCGAGCACAGTAGGAGCTTGTTAGTCTGACTTGTGTCATGCCTCTCATACTGAATATACTCATACTGAACATAAGGTTGTGCTTAATGGTAGTTTTTATTCAAAAATTTGAAGAACAAGGTAATTAAAACAAGGTAATTAAAATTTGCTCAAAATTACAGTCTAGTGATAAAATCAAACTTCACAGATCAGGATGCATTTTGCTTTTTTCCCTCCCAGCTATGTCCAAGAAGCCATCATGTGCATGAGCAAATGTTTTAGGTTCTCTAGCTTCTTCAGTACATTCTTTATGTGTTTTATATACCTGGCCAAGGCTTTTCTCCATTTCATCAAAAGGATGTTGTTTCCATGGGATGAATTAGAAGGTCTGCTTGTAGTCCAGAGATCACTTCTGCCATCTAAAACATTCAAAGAACTGGGCTTCATGAGTGCTAATTTGAGAAAAATTTGCATTTCATTCCTAAAACAATGTTCAAGATCTCTCTCTAGTTCCTTGATCTGGCAGAAAAGTGTGAGTAATTTACACCATATGGTGAAAGAGGGACTATGGTGTAAGATGTATTATCATCTTTGTGAGTAGTGGCATTAACGCGATGGGCAAATTGAAGTGCTCTAAAACTTCTATGAAGCAACAGAACATGACAGCACACAAGTATATTTTCACAACTACAGAACTATTGTTCCATGAAGCTTGTAGCTGAAGGAGCAAAGCACTATGGTAAGTATTGATATCTTAAAATTTGCCCTAGCCAAGGCAAAATTATCCAATTAGAATGGAGATGCTGAAAAATACGGAAAAGAGGAAGAAGAAAGAAAAGGCTAAGCAGTCAGCTTATTCTTTCCTAAGGCTAGTTTGTTTCCTGAAGGAAAAGAAGGCTCAAAGCCATGTATGGTGAGAGGTATGTGCTGATATTCATTTAGCTATTGAAACCGCCACTTAGGCATTTTCCTTCCTTCCTTTAATCAAATGTTGAGTATCAGATGCTACAGCTAGAAATCTACCACATATCAGATGCCATCTCTATCTGCTTTTCCACATTGTGCCTTATAGGTATCCAGTGTTTAACTCTGAATAGCACCAATATTACCCTTGCTTTAGCAGAAATCCCTCAGGCATTTGTGCCAGCAGTTGCCTGTGAAAAAACAGTAGTATTCTTCACAGGTTTATACAGCACTTTTCCTACTTCTCCAGGTGCTTCACTGTTACAGTAAGAAGAGTATAGAGTGGAAAACTATAAAAGGAAACACGCAAATTAAACAACAGCAACAAAGAGCTAAAAAACAGCAGATCAAGGTTAGTGATCCTGCCCCTCTACTCTGTTCTGGTGTGACTTCACCTGGAATACTGTGTCCAGATGTGGAATCCTCAGTACAGGAGAGACATGGATCTGTTAAAGCGGATCCAGAGGAAAGCCATAAAAATGACCCATGGGATGGAGCACCTCCCCTAAGAGGACAGGTTGAAAGAGCTGGGGCTTCTCAACTTGGAGTAGAAGAGAATCCAGAGAAACCTGAGAGCAGCCTTTCTATATCTAAAGGGGGGCTAAAGAAGGAAGGGGGCAGGCTCTTCAACAGGGTTTGTTGCGATAAGACAAGGGAAATGGTCCCAAACTAAAGGAGGGGAGATTTAGATTGGATATAAGGGTAGAGCTTTTTAGCCTTTATTTACATATTTATTAATGGTAAGGGTTGTGAGGCACTGGCACAGGTGCCCAGATAAGTGGTGGATGCCCCTTCCTTGAAGACACTCAAGGTCAGGCTGGATAGGGCTCTGGGCACCTGATCTAGCTGTGGGTGTGCCTGTTGCAGGGGATTTGGATCAAATGGCCTTTAAGGGTCCCTTCTGAATCAAATGATTCTATGATAAGCTATAGTCCAAGTCAAACCTTGAAGCTGAAAAAGCAAACTCAAAATTGCAGTAAACTGCAGACAAATATCCAAGTGCAAATGCAATTTCACAACTGGAATGTATAGCACTTGAGGGACTAAGTGTCCACAGAGGAAAGCAGAATTTTCTTATCTTGTTCATGAAGCACACATTTGGGCAGGCAACAATTTCTACTTGATTCTTCTCAAGTTTCTGGACAGGACTTCTAGGCATATATCACACGTCATTGGGAGCAGCACATAGAATCATAAAATCATAGAATCACTCCTTGGGAAAGACCTTAAAGATCATTGGCTCCAACCATGACCTAACCATACTACCCTAACTCTAACAACCCTCTGCTAAATCATATCCCTGAGCACCACATCCAAACAGATTTAAAACATATTCAGTGATGGTGACTCAACCACCTCCCTGGGGAGCCTATTCCAGTGCTTAACAACCTGTTCTGTAAAGAAGTGTTTCCTGATATCCAAGCTAAGCTTACCCTGGCACAACTTAAGGCCATTTCCCCTTGTCCTGTCACCAGTGAGAAGAAAGCAACCCCGTTCTTGCTGTAAGCACGTTTCAGATATTGGAAGAGAGCAATAAGGTCTCCCCTCAGCCTCCTCTTTCTCAGACTAAATAGCCACAATTCTTTCAGTCTCTCCTCATAGGCCATATTCTCCAAGCCCTTCACAAACCTTGTTGGCCTTCTTTGGACCTGCTCCAGCACTTCAATGTCCTTTCTGTACTGAGGTGCCCAAAACTGACCACAGTACTTGAGGTAAGGCCTCACAAGTGTTGAGTGCAGGGGCAGAATGACTTCCTTAGACTTTCTCCATTTCTGATACAAGCCAGGTACCATTGGCCTTCTTGGCCACCTGGGCACACTACTGTCCATCAGTACACCAAGGTCTCTTTCCATCAGGCAGCTTTGCAGCCACTCCTCCCTAAGCCTGTAGGGTTGCCTGGGGTTGTTGTGACCAAAATGCAGGAGCTGATACTTGGCCCTATTGAAACTCATATAGTTTCTTACTTAACCTTGGCTCATTGATCCAGTCTATCCAGATCCCTCTGTAGTGCCCTCCTCCCCTCAGGCAGAATTTAGGCACATAGATATTAGTCTTTCAAGATAGATCTTAACCCTAGCAACCTTTACTAGAACACTCACTGTAGGAATCTCAAGGAACAAACATGAATAAGGTGTTAGGAAATCACGTGTAAATGAGAGGGAGGATTTGAGAAAGGAATGTGGTTTTATGAACACAAGAACTTGAGATGTAACATTACAGATTGTGAGAGCAAAATGAATTAAGAATAGTATCTCGACTAAGATCACAAAACCAAACAAATACAAGTAAATCTAAAATTACCAAAATGCTTATTTGAAAATAAAAATCTTTACATGTATGTAAATCCAATATGCATATTTACTGATAATTTACTTACTTAATGAGATTATTATTTCCAAGGTAGTCATAGCTTTGTTATATAGATAGATTCATAATATAGAAAACAGAGCTTTCATCACTATTTGCAACAATTTTTAGAGTTCTGAAATTACCTACAATCCTTCTTGTACAAAGCACCCTAAGGTACTTGGTGCCATCTGCTATTCATTGCTCTTTGTAGAACATGCACATTTAATCAGTAACTATCATTGCTTTTGAAACAATGTATTTCTGATCTGCATATAAAATACAGCCCAAATATTGTTTCCCCAACATAGCCCTAAGACCAAAAACAGCTTTATCAGCTCTTTAGTCCTTTTAAATGTCATCAATGATTCATATTTGATCTAATAAGTCTTCTTCAGTTATTACTGCCAGTAAAGTACCCCCAGGTGCACTCTTTGGAAAATCTCCTGTACAGTTGTTGATTGTGCTCTTATTCGTCTCCTTGCATTTCCTTTCAATTCTTCCCTTGGTAGGAATACTTAGGTGGCTTAGAATATGTTCTTTCTAAGTTTGTGATTCATTTGTACAGTTGCTTTGGCACTAAGCACTTCCTCAATTTAAAGTTTCAAATCCACAGCGAGGCCAACAGTTGCATTAAAAGCAACCAACTGGGTGAAGAACAAATTGCACTGCACAATGCTCCTGTGCCATCAAAACATACAAAAAAGGAAGGAAAAATACAATAATGGAAGAGGAAGGAGATGTGTAAGTACATAGCACAGCTTTCTATGCCCTTTACCAAGGCCTTAAACATAGCATTTCTTGCTACAGCTGCAATCATTGAGAAAATGAAAAGAAAATGAACTCTACTCTGTAACTGAAGTCCTTATTCTCTTCTGGCCATAAAAATTGGTTGCTGAGAGCTTTCTCTGGAGTACTGATTAACCAAAAAGAATAGCAAAATGAATTGCCCTTAGTTTGTTTAGCTACACACATTAATCACAAAAAAAAACCAACCCCAACACATTGTATTTAGTGATGCCAAAGAAAGATGTGAACATACACAACCAAGGAATGAGGACTCCTGCTGGATATACAATGCAAATCACCTTCCTCAATTCTATGGGTGTGCAGTTTCCTCACCTTTTAATGCCAGCTCTGAGAAAGGATGGACATAACCAAGCACAGATCTGCACATCATTTACAAAGAGCCTCCATTGTAGCAACTTGCTTTTTGGTTGTGAAACTTGAAGGTCTTTCAGTGAGGACAGCAATGAGGACATACACATTCCCTGGACTGTCCTGACAACTGAAACCTATATGTGACATTGGAAGTGAGGGGAATTACTTTCCAAATCACAAAAGAAAATATCTTCATTTTTTTGCATAAATGTACACAGGCAGAGAAAAAAGAAACAGATTTTCTTCAGAAATCTGGAAAATGCATCTATAAATAACTATAAAATAAACTGAAAAGATTACCCACAGTTTTAGTAAATAAACTATAAAAATTGTAACTAAAACACAGATAAAACCATATCTAGCTGTACAGTTGTAGTGTTTTCCACCTCCTGCAGCATACATCAAAATGCTACAGAGCAAATCCATGAAAGCCAACCATTTAGATATTTCCCATGATGCACAAACCCAGGTATTGCCGTATGCTGAACAACCCCATGCAATTATCACTTACTTGATTGGCAAAACCTTGTTTTTGATGCTCACAGTATTTATGACACATTCAATGTTTTGCCGTGCTACAAACACAGCCTTCCAAGCTGGCATGTTGCTATAAGAACCCTTAGTATGTGAAACCATCAATGCACTTTCAGCCAGGCCTTCTGGGCACTGAGGAATTTGGAAATGGTGTTCCAAATCTATCTGCGTGCAGTTTGCCTGAATTTATGGGCAGCCCTTACTGCTCTTTGCACATCACTGACAACAGAACAAGTTCTTATCCTTAACCCAGTCGCCAGGTGCTGCAAAAACATTCCAACCACAACCAAATCGAGGTAAACCACAAGAAAGTCATGTGCTAGAAGAAGTGGCTTCTCTAGAAAGCCCTTTTACAACAGCTTCCTATTCTTTGAGGGTAGGGTTTGAGTTTTCCATCTTTCCCTTCTCATGTACTATAAAGTGCTGCCAAAATTTCATGAAAGGGATCACCAAAAAGTCAACACACTTACAAACAAAAGGTAAAATTCACACTTATAAATGAGAAAGTGTAACCACAGTCACAGCTATAATACCTTATCCAAAGCCACACTGTCAATTTCAAGTTTATATTGTTATTATTATCAGTGCTTCATCAGTGCTTTGTCAGACAGAAAACTTAATCACAATGCAACATCATATCTGTCACATCTTCTAGATTGCTATCCCAGACATTTTGATGCTTCTTTATTTTACCCATTCAAAGCCAAGGCAAACTATGCAAGTCACTTGTCAACTATGACTGATTTTTCTTACCTGTGCAGTTAAAAAAGACACAATGAACACTGAGGAAGTAGCTCTAATGAGATTGCTGGCTACTTGGTGAAAAACTGTACTGCTACCAATGCGTTGCTTGTCATCTCAGTGTCACATTCTATTGTTAAATGCTACCTTAATATCATGCATGAGAGAATGAAAAGCAAAGAATTGAGCACTTTTTCTAGGATTGCCCTTATGTATATCTGAAATGGAACTGAACCAATATCTGCCAGTCCTTGGCATCTTGAGTCACAAGATTCACTCTATCCCCTGGGGAAGGAGTAGTAACTTAAGACACATTACCAGAATCCACATCAATTTACTGGGCAATGGGGGCTGTCCCAGTTTCCCATTCCCACTGTCACATGCAGTAGAGCAAAAGATTTTTATCCCTCCCAAGCAGTACAGCAGAAATACAGGTAAAGATATTGCTATGGTTACCATAACAACTGCTTTTAACTGCATTTGTTTTCAAGAATACATTTTTTTTCTTCAATCAAAAAGCAACAGTATATTTATTATTGCTAAATGGATGTTTCTCGAGAGCTGAATTCTTTTAAAGCCATTACCCTTGAGCACATATTTTAGATTTACAAGAATAAAAGAGGAGTGCTTCTCATTGTTCAGTATGATAACAATTCTAATTAATCTTTCTTTCTATCTATATGTATAACATTAAGAGCTTTTCAGAAAATGAAATGTGGTTCTGCAGGGGCAGAAATAACATCCATCAGATTGTTGGTAGCACACTTCTTATACTTCACAGGTGGTCCGAGTTCATTTTTATCTTCTACACAGGTTTCAGTGATCAGTAACAGCCCACTTTAGCACTGACTAGCTCTAAGGTCAAAATGTTTTCCTTCATTTCTTTATCTACCAGATATGAAAGTGAGCAGGGGCTGAAGTTTTATTCATGTTGTCATGTAAGACTTTTCAGAGATTCATTTTTCTCAATTACTCTAACTCAAACAAGGGATTGCTCCTGCAGTAGCTGGTTTGGCCAGAAAGATTTGCTATGGAACAAAAAGGAAAATCATGTGCAGTAATGGCTGTAGACACACACTCCTTTTACTTAAGATCAGGGAGAGATGAGAAGAGAAGCAGTTTTGCTGGAAAAGGGTCTGAGAGACACACAGGTAAGAAACTGTTGTTCTCTGGATGATAACATCTGACAGGAAAACATGGAATGACAGCTTAATTTACCACAATGCACATAATGGTTCTTTCTTAAATGTTAGAAAGGGTTCTCAGATCATCCAGCCTTGTCTTGTTTTTAACAAAGGCTTTGCCACACACAAGGTGCTGAGGAAGTAAAGTGTCATATGTACAAAGTGCATAGGAGACAAAGTCTATTTTAAGGCAACTGACAGATTTTTGCAAGGACTTGCGAAAATACAATGTTTAATTTCTGGTCTCCGAGAAAGCTAGCTAATCCAGCCTTCTGGATATTTATTATTTCATTTTAAGTACCAAAGGCAAAAGCTCTGAAATGTGCATCTAATGTAGCTTGCTTAGTAAAAAGAATATATATTTCTAATTATACTGTAGATTCTTTTTATTGCTGCATTCTGTCTACTTGTAGCACATTAGAAAACCAATAACTTCATGTCTCTTAGAAACTGCAAGCACAACAGCCAATAGCTATATTCAGAGGGCAGCTAGGTGGTTGTTTGCTTGCTTGTCTTTACAGCTCCTACTAGGAGTAACTAACATCACATTTCTGCAAATAACCATTCTGTTCTGGCAACTTGATAATTTAGGGCCAGTGCTGCTCACCTCGCTCACACAGGTACTCAGCTTCACAAACAGCACTGACAGTTTCCTTGCATGAAGTGAAAGAAAATATCATTTCAGTTCAGGGTTTTCTGTTTTTTTGGTTTTTTTTAATGTATTCTACAAACTGGTAATTTGACACAGCCTATGCATTCAAATGAATTCCACTGAGAGAAACTCACCAACAAATTGTTTAAGGGGTTGTATTAAAATCCTCTCTCTCTCTCATTAAGCAATTAGAAACTCCTGTATACAGAGAAGCATTTCCAAGTGCATTTGAAGAGAGAATAGAACAGTATGTATGAACTATTGTTTCCTACAAATTCTTTTTCCAAGTAGCCAGTCTAATACACACTGATGATCTAATGAAAGGCTCAGTGCTTTGTCTGCATTTAGTCTTCTTGCTTTCTAACGTGCACTGACTTGCCAGATTACTTATATTACTGCCATCCATATCAGAAGCACATCATAAATGCTCTTCTGTGAACTATAACCACTGAACAGCCAAAATTACCTGCTTCCAAAAATTTCTCTGTGGAAATGCATTAAGTCTGCATACCTAATTCCAGTTATTTGCTGTTAAACCTCTACAGCCTATTTTTGTAAATGATACACAAATAGTCATTTAGAGTTTTGCACAGGACTAATTGGGCAGGAACCCAGCACAGACACAGGGATTCAATCTCTAATTATGTTATATAAGACCCTGACCAAGAACATCAGCTGTTTGGTCTTAGCAATCATTTACTGTTTCAGAAGAGCTACCTTGTAATTGCTGATCATTTTGGCAAAACAGCAATTTCACAAGAGTAATAAACTTAATTTTATGTTATTTTATTATTAGGAAACATCTACACTTCCAATAGAATAAACCAAAGAAAGGGCACTTCCAGGGGGCAAAATCCAGGGAGACCTGGACAAGCTCAAAAAGTGGGCCCATGAGAACCTTGTGAGGTTTAACAAAATGAAGTGCAAGGTCTTGCACTTGGGTCAAGGCAACCCCAGATCTGAGTACAGACTGAGAGAAGAACTCATTAAGAGCAACCATATGGATGGGGGTCCTGATGGATAAAAAACTGGACATGAGCCTGCAGTGTTTTCTTGCAGCCCAGAAGACCAACAGTATTCTGAGCTGCAACAACAGAGCGATGGCAGCAGGAAGAGGGAGGTGATTGTCCCCCTCTATTCTGCCCTTGTGAGGTTTTATCTAAAGTATTGTGTCCAGCACTGTGGCCCCCAGCACAGGAAGGATGCAGAGCTGTTGGAGCAGGTTCAGAAGAGGGCCACAAAGATGACAAGGGCTGGAGCACCCCTCCTTTGAAGAGGGGCTGCAGTACCCAGGGAGAATTCATTGCAGCCTTTCAGTACTTGAAGGGAGCTTATGAACAGGAGGGAAACTGTCTTTTTACATAGTCAGATAGTGATAGGACAAAGAGGAAATGGTTTAAAAAAAGAAGAAGAAGAAGAAGATGTTAGGAAGAAATTATTTATTCTGAGGCAGTGGCACAGGCTGCCCAGAGAGGTTGTGGGTGGAGGCATTGGAGGCCAGGTTGGATGAGATCCTGGGCAACCTGATCTGGTGAGTGGCAACCATACCCATAACACGGGGTTGAAACTAAATGATCTTTAAGGTCACCTCCAACTTAAACAATTCTATGGTTCTGTGATTCGCATAACAGTGTTTCCACACTGGAGTAAAAAACTGAATATAATAAGTAAGGGAAATTAACAAATAAAGGTCCATCTGCCTAACCACTTCAGGGATAAACAAAAGTTAGTGTGTTATTAAGTACATTTTCCAAATGCCTCTCAACAGGGATAGGGAACCAAACACCTTTTTTACAGAGGCTATACAGAATCACAGAATCACAGAATCACTAAGGTTGGAAAAGACCTATAAGATCATCCA